CCCCAAAACCCCAAAACCCCAAAACCCCAAATATAATATCAAAGCAAATATAAATAAAAATAAATAGTTAATTAAGTCAAAAAGATAGCATAAAATCTGATTTTTCAATTTATTCCTCAAGAGTATTTGAAGCGAGGTCTTAACTGATCATTTCAATTTCAGTTTATCTTTTCATTATCAAAATTAGTCTTTCAATGGATTTCATGTCGTTGAGCTTTTTTACCACTTCTAATCTAAATTTACCTTTCCAATTAGTATCTAAGTATTTCTAGAATTCGAAATAGCCTCCACCCAAACCAAAGTAAAAGGTTTTAGTACCAATCAACACCATAGAATTAGGCTCATTGCTTAAACAGAGGTCAATGAATTATACAAGTTGGTCATAGTAATTAATGTTGTATAGAGTTTCACTCATTAGAATCAGGTCAAATTTTCCTTAGAAGTCTTGCCTCTACTTGCATAGAGTTTCCCATGATCCTGCTAATAGTTGATATTTTTGTTGAAGTAAGCTCAAATCAACCTAAGAATTCATTTCAATAACTTTTTTAGTTGCATTATCTAACACATCCTTATTATAATCCTAAAAGACCACATATTATGCATTAAAATTTGTTAAGCACAATAATCCTGGCAATCCTTATCCACATCCCAGTTCTATTACAGATTTGCTATGACAGATATTAGGGTTTTCAGCTATATAGTTGACAAGATCAATAGAACAATCCCATATTTTTAGTCCACCTTCATATACTCCAGATATTAAATCAGTCTCATTAATATTCACTTAAAGCAAGCTTTCAATGTAAATACTTTAAAGGGCCTCTCTATTACTAATAGTCAAATAATGAAGCTGATGCTAACTACCATCAGGCATTGTCACCTAAAGACTCTTAGTGTTGTGTGGTTTTTGCTATTCAATTTCCATTATTAAATTAGCATGTTCAAGTTTTTATAATGAGTATATATAACTAGTAATTTATTAATTAAAATTGAAACTTATAAAAACAACAATCATCAATAATAAGTAAATTATATAAGTCTCGCTATTGCTCTTCATAGAACACTGGCAGCATTATTTCTCATATTAAGAGATCCGTTGCTACCTCCAGAGACACCACCACCCATAGTATTTCTAAGAGAACCATTTAATGATCTATATACAGGATTTGCTTAAGTTGCTCCTCCTTTAGGTGTATTACCTTAGCCTAAGAAGGAAAGTGGATTATTAGACTATTATTATGATTCAAGATTCATAGAGCTGGCAACTTGGCTGGATAGAGAGGGTTTTCTCGATCCGATTTATCTGTTAAGCTAATCAAGTTGCTGCTAAGTCGTCATATTATTATAAGAATTTTACTGTTGTTACTGCTACTATTATTACTGCGTATAGGATCTATTTATGAACATACCAGTTTTTTCTTTTAGAGCTTCAGGCTGACTATGAGAGTTAGATTCACTCCTCTGCTGATTGTTGGCTCCACCACCATTTAATGTGTTGAGAAGATGATTTATATTTTTATTGCTCTAAAGAGAGCCTGTTATCGAAGCAGATGTAGGTGGCTTGTGAACACCTGCTTTTGTATTAGCGGAATACTGTTATTTATTAGCGTAGTTTTATTGTGGTGGAATGTTTTCATCATTCTATGCACGGCCTGTTAAGAAGGATCCTATGCTGTTCTTTATTACTTTGTTTGTGTTTATATTCTCTTTCTGAGACTCAAGAGAATTTGACATAAACTCATGAACAGAGCTTAATGCACTATGCTACGAGGATGCTTATTTTTAAGCTGGCTTCTAAGCTGATCTTTCAGAGTGTTTACTCTTTCCAAAAACTTGTCTCTTAAAATTTTGGAAAGCTATCATTACAACGGTCACATTATCAAGGCTTTGTCTGTATAATGAGTTTTTTAGTACACTCTCTACTGCTAAACCACTTTATTGATGAACATTGTGAGCGATTTTTCTATCTTTATTATCAATGTTACAGCTGTTCCATACGCATTATACGACATCTTCATTTGAGAGTTTATCAAATATTCCATCACAAGCTAAGAGGATGAAATCATGATCCTTTGTAATCTTAAACGATTCTACATCAGGAATGCAAGCAACTACATTAGGATTGCCACCTCTGAACTCAACCTTTGCTTCAGGATCTCCAAAAGTTCTCGATACTGATAATCTACCGGGCAAGACTCTAATTGGTCCTACGATATAGTCTGGGTCTTAATCTTCCTAAGAGTTTTAGGCTTGACCTGAGGTTGTTGTGGCAGTTGTCGTCTAATATACTTGACCTCCAGCTGCAATAATTCTTTGATATTCGAAATCTTCAGATGGCTTATGATCTTGACTCAGTGGAGCTACATGCTATCCTACATTACCTGAAAGTACTGCTCTACTATCGCCAACATTAGCAATGTAGCATGTATCAGCAACTATCAGTGCTACAATAGCGCATGAGCCTGACCTTTCAATAAGAGTTGGATTCCCTTATTCATCTGTACCCATGCACATTTCCATAAATCTGTCCTCAGCTTTTTAGAATCCTTTTAAGATTGCTTCCTTTGGATTCCATGGGAATTAATCTTCTTTAATAACAAAGTGATGTAAATTATCTCTCAGATACTCTGCGCAAGCATGTCCTCCATGACCGTCGTATACACCAAAGAATGAGCATTTTGGCCATTCTTCATGCTATCTATGCTCAGGCTTGACGATATTCAATATAATTGAGACTCTATCTTCATTATAGTTTCTAACTAATCCTTGATTAGTATTAGCTGCATATGCTCTAACAATACCATTTCTTTTCATACTGCATTTAGTTGGTTCATGATTGGGGATAACTATCCTAGTACCAGGTTATAGAGGAAGTTTTTTTGTTTCATCATCTTCATCAGCATCATGAATCATCTGATTTATATTGAGGGTTGTGAAAGATTATACTTTCGTTGATACACCAGTTGAAGGATCAATCTTCTAAGTAAGATTCATATTGCCAGCATTTGCTTCAAAGAATGCCTTTAGATTACCTTTAGTCATCACATTTTATTAGGATTTAGTGCTGTTACTGTTTTAGTTTCTGCTTGAAGGTATTCCTCCCTAAAGATTATTGTTACTATTTTGAACATTTAAATTTCCTAATGATTGACTGGCACTAGTCAAACCCTCTCTGGAATTAGATTTATGTCTTTGTTGCAAAGAAGTTATCTAGCTATTTCTTTGAGATTATATAGTTGTTTAGGATTAATTGTCTCCAGCTTTTCCAGAAGCTTCTTTAATTAATTATTGTAAAGAAGAAGGGGCAAGAGTTTAAGACTTTGTGTTAGCATTGCTATTAGATTAGGAACTTGTATGAGTGGCTGATTTTGTCGATGTATTAGTTTCTTTATAGCCTACAGTATTAGGCCTTGCAATTTTCATGTTTGGAATATCTTTTTAGACATCTCTTACTGCAGATCTACTGTGACTTTTATCTTGATTTGAATTTCCATTATCAGAGTATTTAGGCTAGGAAATTCCTGTAAGAGTCTTAGTAACTCTAGATTTAGCAGTTTCTTCAACTCTCTAGTGTCTACTAAGGAATGTAGCAGCAGCTTGCGAGATATTCTTTCTCTCTCCTTCGCCATTCTTTGGAGTTGGAGCACCAGTGTTATGATTTCCATTTGAATTATTTTGATTTTAGTAGTTCTATGGATGATTTTGTTGTCCATTCATGGTTTTGGAGTGTTTGAAATCATGAGAACCTCTCATTGTGGCTGATTGGGTGGAGCCATTATGATTCTAGGATGATGATTAGGGACCTCTGAAATTTTATGATGAGCTACTTGATTAATTTCTAAAGTAGGATTGAGCTGTTTGTCCAGTGTTAGATAAATTGGGTGTCTGAGTGTTTCCAGTATTGCTTAAGCCTCTACTAGTTGAGGGCATTAATTATTCAGGATCTTTTATTTGATTAGTCAAGCTGCTGTATGTTTTATTTGTGGTGCTTCTTGGAATACTGCCAATTGTAAATTTTTCACCAATGCTGATCTCCTTGGCTGAGTCTGTATTCTAGTTTTGACTTTTATCACCTGTTATGCCATTACTACTAGCACCTTGGACACCATTGTACCCTCCATTAGACTAATTTCTTGATTTCGATGTTAGGTTGAGGGTTAGTGAGTTATCACTGTTAGTGTTTCTCTGAGAAGGTTTATTATTTTCGAGTAATCTGTTCATGTTTTAAATTTATTGCTACCTTACTTGGGATGTTGATTATTAGGATGAAAAATTGCTATTCGTAGCCCCTGTTCCTGATGTCCCATTAAGATTTAGATTAGTGCCAAGTCCTCCATTCATGCTTCTATAGATTTATTGTTCTCTTTTATTGTTTTACTGGGAGTTGTTTTGATTAGCTTATCCTGAACTTGTAAATTTTTCCTCATTCTATTAATGTGAGTTGGACAATAAGGCAGAGTTTTAACTATTTGAAGAATTATTTCCTGCTCCATTAAGTCTATTACTTTCGAGATATTTTAAATTTTTCTGAAACATCTGAGGTTGCTAGCCATGTCCTCTGACATCAGTAGGAGGTTTCTGGGTGAAGCTTTATCTAACTCCGATAGTGTTTTGATTGGCAGTGTTCTTATAGTCATTATAGTTATTTTATTTTAAGTGAGAAGCGCTGGTAACTCTTTATTATTACTCTCCATTCTGCCCACCCTTATATAATTGTTAACTTAGAGAATTTTGTTGGGCTTTAGCCATTGAAAATGGATTACTATGTTCTGCAGTGGATCCGGAATTATTTAGATAATTCAAAGCAGACTAGTTGGAGATACGAGTAAGCGAATTATGCTATGAGCCACCTGCTGTTGACATAGTTTATTATTTTGAATTCATATTTGAGTGAATATTTGCTTGTTATATTCTTAAAATTTAAATATTTTAAATAAATTATGAATCAGCAGCTATACAAGCAACTGAGCATGCTGGGGTTTTGGGGTTTTGGGGTTTTGGGG